GGGAGCTGTTCCCTCGGGGCGGGCCCTGGCCTTCGGGGGAGCTTCCCTGCCGGGAGCCGCCGGTGGGAATGTGGTGCGCGGGCATCGTGTCCCGCTCGGGCGCGTGGTCCGTAGGCTGGGGAAAAGGCTGTGGTGAAACTAGTGGCTTGACTTTTTCAGGAGGGATGTGCATCTGTGCTACCTGCTGGTTTTAGCTGAGAGTAGGGCTTACCTTGTTCACTTAAAGTTAGCCGAAGTTTTTAAGGTGAGCAGCTGGGAATAAAAGCCAGGACTGTGTAGTTGTTTGGGTGTTAAAGGACTGCTTCCCCTGCCAGATGGGCCGACTTCTCTGCACTAGGCTGCTGGGCTAATTCACTCTCGGTATTCCTCTGTGGCGGTTACACCTAAGTAATGTAAATTCTGACGGGGGCGTTTGGCCAGATGGTCTCCAGGTTATGCCTTTTAGCTCTTCAAGAAACAAACTCCTTTAACTTCGTTTAAATGCAGACTAGCTGTTACTCGTCTGCCCACATTCAAGGCTTCAAATGAAACATCAAAGTAATTACATATATGCATATATATCATAATTGTATGCATGTATATCTGTCTTAAACTTTGGTTTAATCCTTTTTACTGTGTGCTTATTACAGCTGTCACTCTAGAAACTCTGGAAAACACGTAATGGTTGTTGGTTTAGAGGTTTATTTGGGTTTGTTGTTTGTTTTTTGAGTGGTGAGGTGTTTGGAGTTAAATGAGTTACATATGGTCTTCAGAAAAATGTGGTGTTCCATGGGAAGTATTGCTGCAGGAAAGGATTTCAGCAGTTCTAATAAGTACTTACGTTGTGACTGATCTGGAAAAGTTATTTCATGTAAACTTGGGTGAGAAGGGAAGGATGAATACTCTCTTATAAGGAAAATACTGTAGTAAACTAACCTTGTTGCTTTGTGTTCAGGTTCAGTGTGGTGACTTCCCTCATCTATTGGTGTATGGACCATCAGGAGCTGGAAAAAAGACAAGAATAATGTGTTTGTTAAGGGAATTATATGGTGCAGGAGTAGAAAAACTGAGGATTGAGCATCAGAGTATAACGGTAAAAAAAAATCTCCCATCTGCTGCAAAGTAATGTGGATATTTATATACTGATGTGTTTTGTTGTGAGGCCTTTATATTTATTTGAGTTTTAAAAGTAATTTTCTTTGTACTCAGTATCTTCCAGCTATTTTATGTAATTAATCAGACTAGTTTGGTTATTGAACAAAAACTTTTGCCAGATGTTCTTGTTCCTTAGGTCTTCATGGGTGGGAGGATGTGGGGCTTTTTTGTTGTTTTTTGTGGTGGTTTTTTTTTCTTTTTTTTACAGGTCAGTTTGGACAATAGCAAGTGTTATGATAGACTAGCTCTCAATTATGTGTATAGCATATAATTTGTCTGTAAAAATAACCCTTATCTTAAAAATTATTAGCGCTGCTTTGCATATATGCAAGTTTTAACTTGTTTTCTGATTCTCATAGTGACAATTTCAGCATTAGCAAGAAAAAAAATAATTTAAATTCTATCTGCCTTGGGTCTTAGGCATTTAGTTGTTTGTTATTAAAAGGTTATATTATCCATTCAAAACCCTTGTTATGGAAGGCTTGACAAATAAGGGTTTATCAAGCTTTTTTGATAAATAGGTTATTTAATGCTTGTTTTTATACTTGTTCCACTACTGAGAATTAAATACTTGGACTGGATGACAGAAATATAGCGTGTGTTTAACTGTTCAGAACCAAATTCAGTGGTGATATAAATACTAGTGTTTTCTTTAAATGAAGTGTAGACTTAAATCCTTTGCCAAGATGTTTTTCCCTCCAAAACTTCTCTGGAGGGACAAAGTATCATTCCAAACAGCTCATTGCAATAATAAGATTTCTTCTTACAAAACTCAGTAACGTGAGCGTGCAGTAATATGGGCTATGTGTTGCTATAGTAATTATTACTATTACTGTTTTACAGGCTGGATGATGTGTCAGTACTCCTCCATTGGAGGTGGGGTTGGGGGGTAGGAGATGTGTAAGTCTAGTGTCTCAGCAGCTCTTTGAGGCTTTTGGTTTGCCTGTGACCTAGCCAGTTGTAATCTGTAAGATAAATTTTTTGCATCAGATTTTTAGAATGCTCTTTCTGAAGTTTAATATGCTTACTTTCTACATAGGCACCTTCTAAAAAGAAAATTGAAATTAGCACCATTGCAAGTAATTATCACCTTGAAGTTAACCCAAGGTAAGTGTACAGCAGAAATGTCCCACTTCAAATATCACCCGCTGGGTGTACTGCAAGTCGTTTCACCCTGGGTATGTAAGGGTCCGATTGCACCATTTATTGCCTGAGCAAATTAGCTAATGGTTTGTGGGTTTGGACTGCGGATGGGAGCAGGGAGAGGATTTTTAATTGAACAGCTCTAAATGATTAAAAATTCGGATTGCTGAGTGCTGAAGACAGTAATGTTCTGCTTAACTAGCCACATAAGCATGCTGATGTTGAGGGCTGGGTAACAGAAACAGTTCTGGATTCATAGATTTAACCATTTAAGTTGAAACTGAGCTTTTATTGGAACCAACACCTCCATATTGTTAGTTCTCTCACAAATACTTTCAAGTCACTTTTATTTTTGTAAACAAGGTTTACCCAGTAGCTCTTAAAATAAAGAGTTTGGAGCATGGGAAGGAACACCACCACAAAAATACTGGGAATCCTGTCATGAGCGAGGTCAGATGTTGATTTAAACGGCAGAAGCTATAACGGTGTACTGTATGTCTTCTTTGACAGTTGTGAAATTGCTGGTGATAGTTCACTGACCCAAAGTAAATACTTGTATTTACCTGAAACCTTGTAGTGTTGCTTTAAATCACATGAGAGTAAATGTCATTGTGCACTGGGAGGCTTTGGTTGTCTTGGCATTGTCGGGGTTGCGGTTATAAGCCAGTGTGTATTCTGAAGTAACTTTCAGCTTTGTGCTTATTGCTAAACCTTTTCTCATGGTGCTCTGTGTTTTAGAAGCTATTCTCGTGTACCATGTCTCCTTCAAAAGCTTGTTCTGCAGCTCATCTCTGTGTATTGATTAGTGAATATCTGCTGGTATTCTAAGACAGACCAAAAAACTAAAGCTGAGACTTATAATGGTAATTAAGTGTTTAAATATGTTGTCCAATGACAGGACAAGGGGCAATGGGTGCAAGCTGAGCATAGCAGGTTCCATATTAAAATAAGGAAAAACTTTTTCAGTGTGGGGGTGACAGAGCACTGGAACAGGCTGCCCAGAGAGGTTGTGGAGTCTCCTTCTCTGGAGACATTCAAAGCCCGCCTGGACACGTTCCTGTGTGATCTACTCTAGGTAGTCCTGCTCTGGCAGGGGGGTTGGACTAGGTGATCTTTCGAGGACCCTTCCAACCCCTACTTTTCTGTGATTTTGGTGATATAAAATGTGTGACCATTCAATCTTCTAGTTTGATAACCTAATAGTACTAATACTTCTTCTGTTACTCTCCATAGAGTACTTTTAGCTTGAAACATATAAAATAATTGTGTTTTACTTTAAATATAAAAATCCTGGAAGTGTAGAACTGCTGTATTGGCTATTGCATATAATAGTATGCTGAGTTTTGATTAAGAATTAATACATTGATTTATAGGCTTTAAGAGATCAAGCAATTGCCATGTTTGTCTGACCAGCCAGTGAACCTGTGTGTGCTGTGCTAATGTTTATCAGCATAGTCTGTGAAGTTTGATTGAATTATAATGTTGTGCATCTTGAGGAACATGATAAATGGCTAACAGGGAAAGGAAATTAACTTCTGGAAAGGACTCTGCAGACATTGAATTTATTATGGAACTTTATTAGATAGAACTGTTCTTTTTCCTCCAAAAGGAGGATGTTGTCCAAATTCCCAAGTGGTGTCTGCTGGTCACTTGGGTAGATGCTTTAAAACGGGTTCTCCTGAGGAAATGGGTAGTGAAAGAGTAAGGAACAATAAAAATTAAGTATCTGTATGGTAACTGCCTTTGTTCGTTGTTTTCCTGGAAAGTTTGGTGTGGTCACATGATACTAAGAATAATCTTTCACCATGAAATTGTAACTCTAGGTTCTCTGTTACTGCAGAGAATAATTTATCTTTAATTATTAGGAAATTGTTTTAATCACTTTCCATTTCCAGAAACTGGCCTAGCTCCTAAGTAGAACCAGCTAGTTTCATTTTGCTTTTTGTTTTTTATACTGTAATCAAAGGTCTGTTCCCTTGCTGAAGGACAGATCTCTGCAGTCAAAGACAGTGTAGCCTGTTCAGCAGATTGTCAGCTGCTGAGCTAATACACTTCTGTCTGTTCTGCTGCCCTCTCCTTGGCCGGAATGGGGAAGGTCTGGTTGAGTGGTGACTGGAACACCACAGACAAATGCCTTTGCATTTGCTTGCCATTGAAATACTGCAGAGCTGCTGCTGCCTCTGGGAAGGCGATAGTCTGGGGATGCTAAAGATTGTGAGAGTGTTTTGGTTTTTTTTTCCCCCCTCTTTTTCTTTGCTTTTTAAGTAATCTAGCTTGCAGGTCAGTCTGCAGTGGTTGTCAGGTCTGAATCAAACTAGCTGAGGTTCTAACCCTCAGTAGAAAGCTGTGCGGTGCTACTGTAGTGGATAGTGAGGAGAAGAGGCGGGAGGAGAGCTAGTATTTCCCTGTGTTTTCCTGCATTCTAAGAGGAAAAAAGCTAACCATTTGTGCTGTAACTGTGTTTTGGTATCAGTCTTTTAGTAGACACTCTTGTAGTTCCAGTGTCTCTGCTGTTCAAGTTTACATTGAGCATATATGCATTCATAGCATGACACCTAGTTTTCAGGGGAAAAGAACCTATGTATTTACATCAGTCCTTTGAGTCAGGCATCCTATTGTGTGGTTAAACTTAATTTTTCTTCCCTTAATGGGTAAAAATGTTCACATTGTGTATCTTTGACCACATCATAGGTGACAAAAGTTTAGACTTTTCATACCAGAAAAATAACTGCTATATTAATGAATTAATAAAACATTGGACAATGGTTTTGCTACTTCCCAATACAGGGCTTCTAATCCAGCTGTGCCTGTATAAGCTTTGGGTTGTTTTTATTAATGGGAAGCTGACTTTCAACAGAGTATGGGTGTTGAGCATAATTCTAACCTCAACAGCCTCGGAAGTATTCTAGCATTCTTGTTCAGTCAGTTGACCAAGGGGCTGCTTAGGAGGGTGTATTTTATATGCAATATAAAATTGTTGTTTTAAAACAAGTTTTATTCAAACTCCTGGTACAGTGATGCGGGAAACAATGACCGTGTAGTAATTCAGGAACTCTTGAAGACAGTAGCACAATCCCAACAGCTTGAGACAAGCACTCAACGAGATTTTAAAGGTGAGTAAAACTAGCTAAAACTAGTCAAAGTACTTTTTAAAATTGTTTTTCAGAGATTTCAGCTGACAGTTCTTATGTGCCTGTGTATTGCATGAGGGCATGCATGAACCTTTCCCACTTTTCTTCAACTGTGGAAATACCTTGAGTGGTTAAATACTCGGTATGAGGTTGTCTCTTGTGTTGCTTTCTTAGGAGTACCGGGTGTAGTTGAATGAGTGTGGCTGGGCAGAGGGAGGTTGGGTTCCTGCTGTCTTTGTCCCAAGTCTACCATTGAAATGCAGTGTACCTTAGTTTGATGATCTACAGTAGTAGTTGAGTTATTAGCTACTGAGGCGAGTCGAGGGGCAGGATAACCTGATGGCAAACAGTGTGCTGGGTAAGTTAGGTGTTAGCCGCTTATTTGTAGCGTTTTGGGGGATGAGTTATCTTGGGCGGAAAGTTTAGAAGCATTTTATCCATCATGTACGGAAAGACACTGGGTAAGAAAATGAAGAAGGCTTTCATTGAGTTTTCCAAGACACATGTTGCTACAACTGGCTTATTTTCCCTCGCCATGACTAAATTGAAAGTGAAATCAGAACTATAGAACAAGAGATTGAAGGAGAGAGGAATTCTTGACAGAGTAGAGCAGAAATCAGTTGAAAATGGTTGTGGATTTAGTACTTTGTCTTATTTTCCTCGCTGTTCTCAGGAAATACTATATTTCACCTAAGCTGCTAGAGCCTGATTTGCTCTACCAGTTATTGATGTGTATATTCTTACAGCTACAGTCATACCGTGCACCTCAAAGCATCTGGTAAGCTGGCTGGTCTCCTTAGGCTACATATATAACCAGAAGAGAACTGGGAGAAGAGTAATGGCCTGACTTGTTCCTTCAGGCTGTTCTCACTGGACCAGTCAGAGTACTGAAATGAGCTATCTCTGAGTTGCCTGTGGAGGAACCTGCAGAAGGTAGCTGGTTAGGTTAGCTGCTTCGTCTTGGGTGTCTCCTGACTGTTCTGAAGCATTTTTGAAGTAGGTTTTTCTTTATGTGTCCGTGGAAAGGCACTGCAGCTACAGTAACAAGGCAGCTTTCTACAGTCCTTTGTTAAGCTGAGACATTGGCTTTTAAATATGAAATGTATTGAGGGGAGTCTTCAAGAAATTTTTGCTTTTTGATATGTCCTTATGCCATAAATTCCTTTGCATTTCTTACTTAAAAATTCCTTTAAAAAGTTACTGTACTAATTACCAAAATGAAAGCTTCTACACCTACCTGGATTATTTCTTGTCACTGAAGTGTTGCAGGCCCTGCTCTGAAGAAATTGACATTCCAGGACATGAGTATAGGGTGTGAAGGAGCAGAAGGTTATACAGTCAAAAAGGCATGCAGGTTGTCTTTGTGTTTTATTTTCCTGCCTGTGGAACCGTGCTGCCTTTTTCTGCTTGGATCGTTTATTTTGGTATTATCGCTCATATGTCAAAGCACTCATTTTCTTAGAAAGATTTGATATTAATAAAAAAACCCACTTATTTTTAATCCTTTTTCAGTGGTGCTGTTAACAGACGTTGACAAACTAACTAAAGATGCTCAGCATGCTTTGCGAAGAACAATGGAGAAGTACATGGCGACCTGCAGGCTGATCCTCTGCTGCAACTCCATGTCAAAAATTATAGGACCTATTCAAAGCAGATGCCTGGCTGTACGAGTGCCTGCTCCCAGCATTGAGGATGTATGTTGGCACAGAAGCAGAAATAAATTATTTAAAACCTCTTACTGGATAAGTTCTTGCTGTGGACTTATGAAATAAGTTACTACCACAAAGTGACCTCGTTTTTCTTTGTGGTGGTTGATTTGTCAAGCGTGTCTTATGAAAGACTGGTCCATCTCTGGTCCAGAAATGTTTCAAACAGGAGAATTGGTAGGTGCAAAGCTGTTCGCTAAGTGTTGTACTCCCTGCTGTTTTCTGTCTAGATCTGCCATGTCTTGTCCAGTGTGTGTAAGAAAGAAGGCCTGACTCTTCCTCAGGAGCTGGCTCAAAGGCTTGCAGAGAAATCTGGCAGGAACCTTCGGAAGGCACTGCTTATGTGCGAGTCCTGCAGAGTACAACAGTAAGTCATTGCTAAAAATTCATGTGAATTATACTCTCAGACACATAAATGAACTTACTTCTGAGGCCTTATTGGAATAGGTGACAGTTTGCTTTGATTTCAGTTTTTAAAAAATCCTATTATTATGTAGGTATCCTTTTACTGCTGATCAAGATATTCCTGAGATGGACTGGGAAGTTTATTTGAGAGAAACTGCAAATGCTATTGTTGGTCAACAGACACCGCAAAGGTAGGTGAATACACTTGCTTGCAGCTATAAATTATGGTTTTGGTGTACTTTTGAACCTAAAAAAAATTGCCGTATTTAAAAATACAGCATCTTTACTTTAGTTATATGTAATTTTCTGCCATTTCTACTGGAGCTGGTACTTTGCAGCCAGAGGAAGTGAGCTTTAAAATTACCAGAGGAGGCAGAGTGAGCATCAGGAGCCGAAACGATTGTTGGTTTTCTTTGTTGAAGCTTTGTAATCAAAAGTGAGCTTAAGCTTAGTTGCATGTTGT